TGAGCTAGCCAAGCGGCCGGGGTGTTGGGGACGCAGCCCCGCCGCTCCTATTTCAACACCAGCCAAATATGATACCATTATATTCGGTGATTTCATGAAATTTGGAGCATCTTAGTTCATATTAGCAGGTTATGGTGCTCGTGGAAGGAAGGACTGGCATCTAGCATTGCCTAGAACGCTTATGGCATTAAGCTTTGTCTACAGAGCTTTTTCTTCAAATTCTGAATGCAATTTTCAGAAAGAAGGAGAATAGGGAAAAAAATCAATTAAACTAAACTGATTCCTCAGAAACTAGGGTAGAAGCCACTGTTCCACATTTTTAAGAATTGACTTGATTAAAAATTTTCTATTTCCTGGGCTGTGTCATTAATATACAGAGATTATAAAAAATCTGATAACAATTTGCAAAATCAGTATATATGAGAGAAGGGGGTTGAGATGAGACATTTAAGTACAAACACAGCAAGAATTTCCATTTAAATTCAATTTACTTTGTAATATATCACTTCTAATACATGTAAAACAAATACTAAATCACCGAGTTATTAAAATAAAATCTATTGATTCACCTCCTTTGGTAATGATCATATTTTACAACAATGTCTTTATAGCCAACAATCTCTCCTCGTTATTGTTTAATCACAGTCCTTTTGCTTTTTGAAAACAACTTAGCTGTATTATACACTAAATATCAATTGCAATTTAGAGTATGATTAATGAGATCATGAGGGGAAGTCTAGACATGGCTGCATGTAGAAAAATTAACGTAGATTTGGCTATATACTTACAAGTTTACTGTTGTTGAGGTTTTTTGTTTTGTTTTGTTTTGTTTTTGTTGTTTTTTACTCTTTTGGGGCCATTCACCCAGCTCTCAAATACATACATAGATATTTATTCATATGAATACTAACCTTATCTTGGTTTATTTCTAGCCAGCTTTTTAAACTTAAATTATCCCATTTCCCTTAAACTATGTTTGCCTCGGGGCTTTTTAGCTTTCTTTATTCTATATATCTTTCAT